GGCCGCGCGCAGTAGGAGGCGGTGGCGGTGGCGCTGTTCGCTTAGCGAGGGAAGAGGGAGGGGAGGCTGCCGCCGGGGCGGCTGGGCCCCGAGCGCAGACGGCGCGCCCCAGGTAGGCGGGAGCCGCTGCGGTTTTGTGGAGCCGGGCTGGAGGTGTGCGTGTAGAAAACTGGCCGTGTGTAGAAGTGTGCGGCTGGAGTGCCCGTGAAGGGGCTGGGCGCCAGGGCGTCTTCCCAAGGGGACGGGCAGCGCTGAGGAACTGGACTTGGGAGGTGTAAGGAGAAAGGAAAGAAAGGATTCTTTCTAGAAAATGGGGAGGCTTGAGCTAGTTTTGTGAAAAACGGGGAAGTCAGGAGGAAGGTTGGCTTTTGCAGGGAAAGGCGGTGGGTTTGTGTTTTTATGAGATGGCCTGCGTAGACATTGTCCAGGGCGCAGTGGAGATGTGAGAAAGTGTAAGTATTACAAGAATGATTCGTGGGAATTCTAGGACTCTTGCCAGTTTCTGGGGAACTTAGGAATCTAACATGAAACGAAGTCAACTTTTTGTGCTAATTCCTCCAAATCAATAGGAAACAATTTTCTTTTTAACTCCAGGGCTTGTACCACTTAATGAGGTGTTATGAGTTGAATTGTATCCTTCAAAAAAATATATGAGGAAGCCCTAGACCTCGGCACCTCAGAATGTGACCTCATTTGGAAATAGGGTCATTGAAGATGTAATTAGTTAAAATTAAAAATGCGGTCACACTGGCGTGTGGGTGGGGTCTGGCTAATTCAGTATGACTGGTGTCCTTATAAGAGGATTGCCCCATGCATGCCATGTGAAGATGGACCCTGAGATTGCAGCGATGCACCTACAGACCAGGGAAGGCCAAGGATTGCCAGCGGGTCCTCACCAGCTAGGAGAGAGGCAGGGAGCAGATTCACTCTTAGAAGGAACCAACCCTGCCTACACCTTGACTTCAGACCTCCAGCCTCCAGAACTGTGAGAGAAGAGATTTCTGTTTTAAGCCACCGAGACAGCAGCCACAGGAAACAAATGCATGAGGCCATAGAAGCCCTGGTGACCGATCCTTTCAGAGGGGCTGTCGTCCACTGTCCAGGTGCAACATGTCACTTGCTACCTGCACAGTTTTAGACAGTTTCTCATCCTGTCTGAGCCTCAGCTTCCTCATTTGTGAAATGGAGATAATGGCACCTACCTCACATTTCTGCTAAGAGGATTTCTCGTTAGAAACTGGGCGCAGATAATGTGACATATAATAAAGGTTCGATAAATGTTCCTTCCTCCTTAAAGCGTTGCCTCTTCCTGGGAGCCGGTTATAAAGGAGCTTGAGGGAAAACTCCCTCCTTCCTCAGAGCATTCATTCAGCATTCCTTTGGCCAGAGGCTGGACGTGGTAGGGAAAGGGGCAACCACTGTGCCTGATTTACCGTAAACCGGAATCCGTGTGTTCAAAATGAAAGTCGCCGTGTTCCCCGGAAACCCAGCTCCTTCTCACTTCCCTGGTTCTGTTGCCCACACACGCCCCTGGCTCCTCCCACTCCTTTTGTCATTATGTCTAGCTTGTTACCTACTTTCTGTGTTTGTTAAAGTTTTTTGGCCAGGATGTACATGTGAAACAACTGCTTCATTAAAAAACACTTGTGTTTTTATATATGATGCATCTTGATATTTTCTATTTCATGATTTTTAAAAATCCGCAGACCCGTTTTTAAGCCTGCAAGACGTCAGGTGGAGCTGTCACGTAGACGGAGGTGTGCTAAGGGAGAGGACTGTGCTGGGTATAGATTTGGAGGCCATCAGCACATAGAGATGGCACTTCATCGCATGAAAATGGGTGGGATGGGCCAGGGAGCCGGGTGGTGTGAGAAAAGCACAGGGAAGGAGGGAGAGAACTTGGAACGCAGTATTGAGGGTGAGTAGAGGATTTGAGTTCCACACCGTCTCACCTCTGTCACTTGGCACCTGCTGGTCCTTTATCCTCAGATGCTCTCTGCTCAATATGGTCTGAATTCTGCTCACCTTTTAACTGCCAACATGGGTACTCCCTGCCCCGAGAGGCCTCCCTGTCTTTAAAGCCAGAAGCATCCTCTCCCTTCTCTCAGGTACTTCACTCATATCTTTCTCATAATACACATTGTCTTGAACTACAGGGTTTTTGTTTTGCTTTTGACTATGTGTCTTTGTCCCCTTATTTGACTCCATACATTTTCCCCAAAGTGTTGAAAGCATAGTATTAGGTTGAACTGCATGCCATTGCCATTACTATCTTTGTAAGTCAACTTCATACAGTTCAACCTCATACATTGATGAAAAGAGCCCAAGGCAAACTTAGATTTACATCCCAGATGGAATATGTGTCATTTAGTATGCGTCATCTCAGTTGGGTAATCTTGGACAAATTTACTAAAATTTGCTCTCAGGGTCTCAGTTGCCTCATCTGTAAAATGGGCATAAAATAGTCTATACCTCAGGGTTGTGTTTAAAATTAAATGGAATAATGTGTGTAAGGGACCTGAGGTATAGCAATCCCCGAATAAAGGTGGCCATCATTGCAGGCAGTGTTTAATTATGGCTTTTTAAATTCTGAAACTGCCCGGCGGGCGTGGCTGTGCAATTGAGTGTCGACCTAGGATCCAGGCGATCGGGGATTGATTCCTGGTCAAGGCACACGCCCGGGTTGCAGGCTTGATCAATGACTCTCATCATTGATGTTTCTGTCTCTCTCTCTCCCTCTCCTTTCCTCTCTCTGAAATCAATAAAGATATATAAAAAATAAATTCTGAAACTATCGCTCTGGTCAGTGTGGCTCAGTGGTTAGAGCATCGGCCAACACATGAAGGGTTGCACGTAAAGGGCACATATCTGCCTGGCTGGGTGTGGCTCAGTGGTTGATCATCAACCTAGGATCCAGGCATTTGGGGTTCGATTCCCGGTCAGGGCACATGCCCGGGTTGTGGGCTCGATCCCCAGTCAGGGACATGCAGGAGGCAGCCAGCCAATGACTCTCATCATTGATGTTTCTTTCTCTCTCCCTCTCCCTTCCTCCCTCTGAAATCAATAAAGATATATTTAAAAAAAAAAAAAAGGGCACTTCTCTGGGTTGCAGGTTTGATACCTGGCCCCAGTCAGGGTGAGTGTGGAAGGCAACCGATGGATGTGTCTCATATTGATGTCTCTCTCTTTCCCTCCCTCCCACTCTCTCTAAAAATCAATGGAAAAAATATCCTTGGGTAAGGATTAACAACAACAAAAAAATCTGAAACTATCAAACAAAATTATTTAAATTTTCAAGAGGATTGTGGTCTCTTCCCTGGGGATCTCGAGCCCGGTCCAGGGCTGGGAATGCGATTGAAGGCTTCCTTCCAGCCTTGCGGCAGCTGGGTTCAGCTGCAGACAGCAATCCTGAGAGCCCGGCTGGACGTTTGTCCTCTGAGGGCTCCTGGGAACTTCATTTAGAGAGGACACTAGGTCCCAGGGCCCAGACTTCCCCCTCACCCCAGCAGCTGCTGAATGGACTGAGCCCCCCGGGGAGGCCGCCTCAGCCCACCCCGCCCCTCACACCCTGGCCCCGGATCCCAGTGCTCAGTGTCCACCTCTGTCGCCACAGTCTTTGGCTCAGTGCTCCATGCTCTTCCCTCAGGGGCAGCTTCTGGTTCCTGAACACAGGGCTGAGCTCCGCTTCGATCATGTCCCACGAGTAGGCTGCAGAGTTCCTCTTTGTGGTAATAAAAGTTTTGGAAATAGATAGTGGTGATGGTTGCACAACACTGTGAATGTAATTAATGCCACTGGATGGTACACTTAAAAATGGCCAATTCTGCCCGGCCAGCGTGGCTCTGAGGTTGAGCACCCACCCAGGAGACTGAGGTTCGATCCGGTCAGGGCACATGCCCCGGGTTCCTGCCCGATCCCCACTAGGGGGCGTGCGGGAGGCAGCGGATCAATGCCTCTCATTGATGTTTCTCTCTCTCCCTCTCCCTTCCTCTCTTTGAGATCAAGAAAGACATATTTAAAAAAATAAAAATTAAAAAAAGAAAGAATACCAAAAAGAAATAAAAATCCAGGAATGGGAGGTCTAAGGGGGAGCAGGCTTGTCCTGTGGGGTTTCCGGACATAACCTGGGGCGGAGGCCACATTGGGAGACCTGGGTGCAGGCCCCTGCCCGCCCCTCATTTGGCTCCGTGATGTTGGTAACTTAGCTCCTCTGAGGATAACGTGTCCTCCCACGGGGGCTGTCATGGGCTGCAGATGTGGTTAAACGGCACGAAACTGTAAAACACTGGATAAGACGCAAAGAAACCTATGACAAATGAAATGCTGTGGTACCTTCTCCCCCTCGGCTCTGAGGGTGCCTGAAATTCCACCTTAAGGCTCGGAATTGGGGATTGGAAGAGGGGACACCAAAGGGACCTCTCAGTCTCTGCTTCCTCGCCGCGACGGACCGCTCTGTGTTCCCATGGGTTGACATCCGGGGAGGGCGACTGTGAGGCTGTAGGTGCCAGAGGAGAGCAG